GTTAGTGGACTGGTGTGGGTCACATCCTGGGTGTTAGAGGACTGGTGTGGGTCACATCCTGGGTGTTAGTGGACTGGTGTGGATCACATCCTGGGTGTTAGTGGACTGGTGTGGGTCACATCCTGGGTGCTATTGGACTGGTGTTGGTCACATCCTGGGTGTTAGTGGACTGGTGTGTGTCGCATCCTAAGTGTTAGTGGACTTGTGTGGGTCACATCCTGGGTTTTAGTGGACTGCTGTGGGTCATATCCTGGGTGTTAGTAGACTTGTGTGGGTCACATCCTGGGTGTTAATGGACTGGTGTGGGTCACATCCTGGTTGTTAGTGGACTGGTGTGAGTCACATCCTGGATGTTAGTGGACTGGTGTGGGTCACATCCTGGGTGTTAGTGGACTGGTGTGGGTCACATCCTGGGTGTTAGTGGACTGGTGTGGGTCACATCCTGGGTGTTAGTGGACTGGTGTGGGTCACATCCTGGGTGTTAGTGGACTGGTGTGGGTCACATCCTGGGTGTTAGTGCTCTGGTGTGGGTCACATCCTGGGTGTTAGTGGACTGATATGGGTCACATCCTGGGTGTTAGTGGATAGGTGTGGGTCACATTATGGGTGTTAGTGGACTGGTGTGGGTCACATCCTGGGTGTTAGTGGACTGGTGTGGGTCACATCTTGGGTGTTAGTGGACTGGTGTGGGTCACATCCTGGGTGTTAGAGGACTGGTGTGGGTCACATCCTGGGTGTTAGTGGACTGGTGTGGATCACATCCTGGGTGTTAGTGGACTGGTGTGGGTCACATCCTGGGTGCTATTGGACTGGTGTTGGTCACATCCTGGGTGTTAGTGGACTGGTGTGAGTCGCATCCTAAGTGTTAGTGGACTTGTGTGGGTCACATCCTGGGTGTTAGTGGACTGGTGTGGATCACATCCTGGGTTTTAGTGGACTGCTGTGGGTCATATCCTGGGTGTTAGTGGACTTGTGTGGGTCACATCCTGGGTGTTAATGGACTGGTGTGGGTCACATCCTGGTTGTTAGTGGACTGGTGTGAGTCACATCCTGGATGTTAGTGGACTGGTGTGGGTCACATCCTGGGTGTTAGTGGACTGGTGTGGGTCATATCCTGGGTGTTAGTGGACTGGTGTGGGTCACATCCTGGGTGTTAGTGGACTGGTGTGGGTCACATCCTGGGTGTTAGTGGACTGGTGTGGGTCACATCTTGGGTGTTAGTGGACTGGTGTGGATCACATCCTGGGTGTTAGTGGACTGGTGTGGGTCACATCCTGGGTGTTAGTGGACTAGTGTGTGTCACATCCTGGGTGTTAGTGGAGTGGTGTGGGTCACATCCTGGGTGTTAGTGGAGTGGTGTGGGTCACATCCTGGGTGTTAGTGGACTGGTGTGGGTCACATCCTGGGTGCTATTGGACTGGTGTTGGTCACATCCTGGGTGTTAGTGGACTGGTGTGTGTCGCATCCTAAGTGTTAGTGGACTTGTGTGGGTCACATCCTGGGTGTTAGTGGACTGGTGTGGATCACATCCTGGGTTTTAGTGGACTGGTGTGGGTCATATCCTGGGTGTTAGTGGACTTGTGTGGGTCACATCCTGGGTGTTAATGGACTGGTGTGGGTCACATCCTGGTTGTTAGTGGACTGGTGTGAGTCACATCCTGGATGTTAGTGGACTGGTGTGGGTCACATCCTGGGTGTTAGTGGACTGGTGTGGGTCACATCCTGGTTGTTAATGGACTGGTGTGGGTCACATCCTGGGTATTAGTGGACTGGTGTGGGTCACATCCTGGGTATTAGTGGACTGGTGTGGGTCACATCCTGGGTGTTAGTGGACTGGTGTGGGTCACATCCTGGGTGTTAGTGGACTGGTGTGGGTCACATCCTGGTTGTTAGTGGACTGGTGTGGGTCACATCCTGGGTGTTAGTGGACTGGTGTGGGTCACATCCTGGGTGTTAGTGGACTGGTGTGGGTCACATCCTGGGTGTTAGTGGACTGGTGTGGGTCACATCCTGGGTGTTAGTGGACTGGTGTGGGTCACATCCTGGGTGTTAGTGGACTGGTGTGGGTCACATCCTGGGTGTTAGTGGACTGGTGTGGGTCACATCCTGGGACAAAACTGACATAATTTGCGGGAAATGCTGTACATAACAAGGGACTTTCTATATAGTAGTATGTCACTGATGTCAGCTATGTCTGTATACCTTGTACATGTACTGGTATACCTTGTACATGTACTGGTATACCTTGTACATGTACTGGTATACCTTGTACATGTACTGGTATACCTTGTACATGTACTGGTATACTTGTACATGTACTGGTATACCTTGTACATGTACTGGTATACCTTGTACATGTACTGGTATACCTTGTACATGTACTGGTATACCTTGTACATGTACTGGTATACCTTGTACATGTACTGGTATACCTTGTACATGTACTGGTATACCTTGTACATGTACTGGTATACCTTGTACATGTACTGGCATACCTTGTACATGTACTGGTATACCTTGTACATGTACTGGTATACCTTGTACATGTACTGGTATACCTTGTACATGTACTGGTATACCTTGTACATGTACTGGTATACCTTGTACATGTACTGGTATACCTTGTACATGTACTGATACACCTTGTACATGTACTGGTATACCTTGTACATGTACTGGTATACCTTGTACATGTACTGGTATACCTTGTACATGTACTGGTATACCTTGTACATGTACTGGTATACCTTGTACATGTACTGGTATACCTTGTACATGTACTGGTATACCTTGTACATGTACTGGTATACCTCGTACATGTACTGGTATACCTTGTACATGTACTGGTATACCTTGTACATGTACTGGTATACCTTGTACATGTACTGGTATACCTTGTACATGTACTGATATACCTTGTACATGTACTGGTATACCTTGTACATGTACTGGTGTACCTTGTACATGTACTGGTATACCTTGTACATGTACTGGTGTACCTTGTACATGTACTGGTATACCTTGTACATATACTGGTATACCTTGTACATGTACTGGTATACCTTGTACATTGTACTGGTATACCTTGTACATGTACTGGTATACCTTGTACATGTACTGGTATACCTTGTACATGTACTGGCATACCTTGTACATGTACTGGTATACCTTGTACATGTACTGGTATACCTTGTACATGTACTGGCAAACCTTGTACATGTACTGGTATACTTGTACATGTACTGGTATACCTTGTACATGTACTGGTATACCTTGTACATGTACTGGTATACCTTGTACATGTACTGGTATACCTTGTACATGTACTGGTATACCTTGTATATGTACTGGTATACCTTGTACATGTACTGGCGTACCTTGTACATGTACTGGTATACCTTGTACATGTACTGGTATACCTTGAACATGTACTGGTATACCTTGTACATGTACTCATATACCTTGTACATGTACTGGTATACCTTGTACATGTACTGGCATACCTTGTACATGTACTGGTATACCTTGTACATATACTGGTATACCTTGTACATGTACTGGTATACCTTGTACATGTACTGGTATACCTTGTACATGTACTGGTATACCTTGTACATGTACTGGTATACCTTGTACATGCACTGGTATACCTTGTACATGTACTGGTATACCTTGTACATGTGGTGGTATACCTTGTACATGTACTGGTATACCTTGTACATGTAATGGTTATACTTGTACATGTACTGGTATACCTTGTACATGTACTGGTATACCTTGTACATGTACTGGTATACCTTGTACATGTACTGGTATACCTTGTACATGTACTGGTATACCTTGTACATGTACTGGTATACCTTGTACATGTTCTGGTATACCTTGTACATGTACTGGTATACCTTGTACATGTACTCATATACCAGTACATGTACTGGTATACCTTGTACATGTACTGGCATACCTTGTACATGTACTGGTATACCTTGTACATGTACTGGTATACCTTGTACATGTACTGGTATACCTTGTACATGTACTGGTATACCTTGTACATGTACTGGTATACCTTGTACATGTACTGGTATACCTTGTACATGTACTGGTATACCTTGTACATGTACTGGCATACCTTGTACATGTACTGGTATACCTTGTACATTTTACTGGTATACCTTGTACATGTACTGGTATACCTTGTACATGTACTGGTATACCTTGTACATGTACTTGTATACCTTGTACATGTACTGGTATACCTTGTACATGTACTGGTATACCTTGTACATGTACAAGTATACCTTGTACATGTACTGGTATACCTTGTACATGTACTGGTATACCTTGTACATGTACTGCTAGTAAATAATGATATTATTATTATTATTATTATTATTATTATTATTATTATTATTATTATTATTATTATTATTATTATTATTACAAAAACACAATACTAAGATAAGTCTTATTGATCCACTAAGTCGATAGCTTTAACCTTATAAAGTTCAATTTTTTTTATTAGTTAATTCAAATTGTTAACATAATTCTGCAGTTTATTTACCTCTTATAAACTGGTTATTTTATATTTTAGTTTTTCCTCGGATAGCATTAAAAACGAACTGTGTAAATGTTTTTGTTAGTGGAGAGAAAAAACACGGCAGTGTGGGGTTAGAACTCGCGGCAAGTGAGTCGTAAAACTCCTGACCAGAAGTTTTATCACACGCCATGAGTTCTAACCCCACTGTACTGTTGTTTGCAATTGTGGTATTACGATTTCATGAATTTTGTTAGTGGGTTTGGGTTTAAGACCTACGTAGTATGGGCCAGTAGGCCTGCTGCAGTGTTCCTCCTTTCTAATGTTTTTTGTTGCATGTTGCATATAGGTTGCACTGTGTTATATAATTACTTTCTGGATTAAATCATATTTTATCTATGAGATATTTGTTTAATATGATTAATTGGTGAACTGAAAGTGGGCGGTTATTGATACGTCTTCGGAGGCTTCTTACTTTATTTGCATAGTCGTGGTGGGTACACAGGCTTGTGTGTTGTGCCCATGGCCCGGGAGGGCCATCACACGAGAGGGAGAACTGGCCTTCTGTCTTGCTGCTAGGCTGCTGTGAGAGTGAGAGTGTGGGGCCAGCTTCCCACAGACCTGGGCAGGCCCAGAGGGCAGCACCTGAGTGCCGTGAAATATGAACTAAGCTGGCAGACAGCATATAGCTGTCTGTGCAGATAGTACAGGCTGTCTACATTCGCTCGGCCACCTACCTCGACGACGCGACAATACTGGTTGTAGAAAAAAACTCGGTCTCTCTCTCGTAGGAACAGGGTACAGAACACAAATTAAAACATGTATATACTTATGGACATGGAAAAAAAAAACTTCCTACAGGGAGGGAAGAAAAAAACATGTAGGGTGTGCTGAACATCATGGTCATAGGCAGTGAGCATCGAAAGGCATCACTGCACGCCTTCCTGCATCTGGACAGATACTGCAACACAGGAGACATCGCTGCGGCTGAGCTGTGACATAACAAGGTACGGTCTCCTCTGGAACGGTGAAGCAGTCATCCAGTCATCGTAGGAGTCACTGCAGGTTTCACTCAACCTGGGGCACGACATGCTGGTGCCCTCGAGTGAGGCGTCTACAAAACTCAGCAACTGGGCAGGACTTCTCGCAAACGACTCAGGAGGACACTTCTCGACTGGTACTGTCGCTGGGCTGTCACTGCCAGCGAGCGTGGAGCGAGTTGTGGAGCGAGTCGTGGCAGAGACGACTGGGCGAAACATCTGGGAGTCGTAACATCATACACCAGACTGCAGTGAGCGAGCTAGCAGTCAAAGTGACATCTTCTTTGTGCAGGCTGCTCACTGTTGTGACATGAGGCTGACACAGCGCCTGCCGACAGGGCTAACTGCAGCTTGACAAGTGTCATTCTCTCGGCAGTTGGAGTTATAGCAGAGGTTAGTCTAAGCGTCCCCAGACTTGTTTCTCTACATATAACTGCACTTTTAAGGTCTGGAGGTGAAGTGAAACAAATCTTGATGGGAATCGTAGCAGGTACGATTCTGCAGAGCATCTATGAGCGACGAGCATAAGAGCTTTCTGTACAAGGGGGCTCGGGCTTAGAGCTGACTGATATCTAGTTACACTGGGTGACTTAACACAGTGGTGCTACACGGGTCTGGCTCAGACCTCACTGGACACACGGAAAACTTTACACACACCTGCGGTACATGCAGTACAACATGGCTTAACTAGTGTGAAAAATACTGTATATATTTTTCGGAAATACGGTAATTTATAGGTAAATAGATGCCCTTTATTGTATTTTTAAAAGAAGTATGTTATCGAAAATGGGAAACCTGCGGCTGGGGGGCTCAGTCGCCATCTTGGTTTTTGAATTTTGTATTAGAAACGTTGGTGAATGGGGAAGAATTTTTCGTGCTCTAGAGGTTAAAATTGTGCTGACACCTCTCAAATAGGAGGCGAAATTGGTGGATATGCATTCCTGCATAACTTGAGATTTCAGGCGACTGGACAAGACAGCTCCAGGAACCTCAGATAAGCTCTCTAGATTTGTGTGTAATTCTGGCCAGCATTATTTTCATAGATTTAGTTAGAGTGAGGTTTTCTGAGTATGATACACTAATCTCCAGTCAAATTGGTGAGTGATAATAAGATATATTTTTCCTTCTGTTATGTAATTGTGTATATATATAACCATTTATTATTTTTAATATACAGTCCACAAAATTTATACATTTACCAGTATTCCTGGTTATACATATTTCATTGGTAATTAATAGGTCCAGAGCAACTTGTGGATATGACAGTGGTAGGCATTGAAGGGGGACATTTTTTGCGACCTAGGTGTCCCAAATTCCTACTTGTCTATGTAACATTGCTAAATAATAAGTATCTTTGTTATCATTTACTGTTATGTACATAATTAGTTACATTCAGATAAATGCAATTTTCCACAACTAGCAAATGATGCTTCTCTGTGCACAAAACTGACACTACGCCGTACACTAACATGTGAGAACACTGAGAGGAATTATTTAACACACGACATATATTTTCTCTCAATCTTCTCAACAATACTGAAATATTTACTAGAACACTCAATGTGACATCATGTGATGTCAGACATGACATCGCGAGGTGACGTCAGCAGCATTGTGACATCAGCAGATATCTCAAGGTGATGTCAGGCAGACATCGTGATGTCATGAAGTCGGGCGGCATTGTCAGTGATGTCAATGTGATGTGGGCAGCAGACCACAGCATGAGGCCTGGGACATCTGGCTTGGTAACCCACATGGCTTGTAGTTCCACGTGACATAGCCCACACCCCATGTGGCATTGAGATCCATGTGGTTTCGTGATCTATGTGGCATGCTGATCCACATGGCTTGCTGATCCACATGGCTTGCTGATCCACATGGCTTGCTGATCCATGTGGCTTGCTGATCCACGTGGCTTGCTGATCCACGTGGCTTGCTGATCTACGTGGCATGCTGATCCACGTAGCTTCGAGTGGCCTCGGGCACTCGGATATACAGCTCTGGCAATGAATCACACGAAAAACAGCAGAAAACACAGCAGAGGGAGTGGGCAGTGGTGAGTGTATGGTAGACGGGTGAGCGTGAGTAGGGCGAGCATGGGCGATGCAAGGAAACGGCCACTTCCTCCTCCTCCCACCCACCAACACAGGGAGACACACTGGATGCAGAAATCACCAAAAAGCTCACCTCTGGCTTGCTGAAACAACTGTGCTGAGCTGAACAACAACAGCAGAACATACAAGTGACGCTGAACATGTGACTTGAGACACAGCATGGGACGCTGTAGCGTGGGGTCACTGGGACGCCACTTACAATTCGGTAAATTTCGGCTGGATCCTGCTTGTACCTGTGTCTGGATGCTGAAACGTGCAGACACGACATCAGGATAACTCGTTGAGAGACGGATGCTTCTTGTATAGGGTGATGAAGTGAAGATGATTTCATCCCTTCCTCTCTCCGGGCAAACACAATTGCTGCGACCACTGCTTCCCACCATTTATAACGAGACTTATTTCGTACGATGAAAGCGGGTGCGTGAATGATATGTCTTCCAAGGCTTCTTACTTTATTTGCAAAGTCGTGGTGGGTACACAGGCTTGTGTGTTGTGCCCATGGCCCAGGAGGGCCATCCCACGAGAGGGAGAACTAGTAGGCCTTGTGTCTTCCTGCTAGGCTGCTGTGAGACAGTGTGGGACCAGCTTCCCACAGACCTGGGCAGGCCCAGAGGGCAGCACCTGAGTGCCGTGAAATATGAACTAAGCTGGCAGACAGCATATAGCTGTCTGTGCAGACAGTACAGGCTGTCTACATATTCAATACACTAGATATAACGTATTAATATCAGATACACACCAACTCACAAGAACAAATTTTTGATCGCGTCACATAGACGATTGTTAGAAGTACTGTTGTGATAACATTGATCCACGACCCCACCAGCGCCATCACAATTTTGATGAAGGTGTGCAGCTGGTTCATGACGTATGCCTCGTCACGGTCATCGAAGTTCTCTTTGCAGGTGGCGACGTACTCGTTCCAGGAGAGGTTCAGATCGAAGGAGATACAGGTGTGTCTGAAGCCCTCAGTCAGGATGATTGCTACCGCGAAGGCCAGCAAGGTTTCCAGGGCCACAATGGCCAACACCACCAGCGTGTATATCCTGGTGAAGGCAAAGGCTGGTGGCTCACCCTTGAGGCGCCAGATATTAAGGAGCCCACTGTGGAAGAGGAGTAATGTAGTGGATAACACCACCTCGATAATGGGAAGAAATGCAGTCATGTTACAAGGGGTCTTGTCTGGGTTCCCCCAACCCCAGCGATGGTCGAAGCCAGGGGGTTTGTTGACAAACAGCGGGCACATTTTCCGCTCCACCTCCCAGCGAGAGGTTACGATAGCCATGGGCACCATTACAGACAGTGCTGCAGCGAGGGCCACCACGTGAAGTATAATACTGAACACTTCTAAACGAGCCGTTGTTGTTTCGCCCTCGAGAGCGGCGGTTTCAGGATGCCGATACTCCCACTGTTTGTGTTGACGACCTCGGCGGTGGCTACCCCGCCTGGGTCTCCTGCCAGGCTGATGCTTCTCTGGTGACTGCTGTGTGCTGTTACCACCCTGGTGACTAGTTGTGAGCCTGACTGGTGACTGATCACGACTGTTACTTCTGTGTTCACGGCTCTCACGACTAACATTCTGCCTTCTAGGTGAGTGGTCACGACTATTACTTCTATGATCACGGCTCTCATGACTAGTATTCTGCCTTCTTGGTGAGTTATCACGACCACTACGTCTATGTTGTTTTGGTGACTGCCGTCCTGGTGAGTTAGCTCTTCCTCTCCGTATCGAGCGTGGGGACTGGCTAGGCAGTGTGTGTTGCCCTCGATCTTGCTTGACAGGGGAGGAGGTCCTGCCTCTAGCCTCATCCAGACAGCGTCGGGACGGGGATAGGTCCCTGCGGCGTGGACTTCGTCCTTGCTTTCGTCCCCTGTCGCTATCCTCAGACCCATCCATCATCCTCTCCCACACATACACATTGATAGCCCTGAAGAAACAGAAAAATGGAGGGTATAAGATGCTGGAATTCACTAGTTACTCAAAACCAGGAATAAATAAAGCTAGTGTAGGTAAGGAAGTACAAGGTATAAAAACTACTTAAAAACAGAGACAGATCTGAACTTACAAGTAAATGATGATTATCTTACGAATTCGTAATAACTACTTATGGAAAGTTATATATACTTTTCTTTCTTGTCGTTGCAGGGGTCGAGTATTGTTGGGGTCGAACATTGTTGGGGGTTGAGTATTGTTGGGGTCGAGTATTGTTGGGATCGAGCATTGTTGGGGGTTGGGTATTGTTGGGGTCGAGTATTGTTGGGGTCGAGCATTGTTGGAGGGTCGAGTATTGTTGGATGGTCGAGTATTGTTGGAGGGTCGAGTATTGTTGGGGTCGAGCATTGTTGGGGTTGAGTATTGTTGGAGGGTCGAGTATTGTTGGAGGGTCGAGTATTGTTGGGGTCGAGTATTGTTTGGGTCGAGTATTGTTGGGGTCGAGTATTGTTGGAGGGCCGTGTATTGTTGGGGTTGAGCATTGTTGGGGGTTGAGTATTGTTGGAGGGTCGAGTATTGTTGGAGGGTCGAGTATTGTTGGAGGGTCGAGTATTGTTGGAGGGTCGAGTATTGTTGGGGTCGAGCATTGTTGGGGTCGAGTATTGTTGGAGGGTCGAGTATTGTTGGGGTCGAGCATTGTTGGGGTCGAGTATTGTTGGAGGGTCGAGTATTGTTGGAGGGTCGAGCATTGTTGGAGGGTCGAGTATTGTTGGGGTCGAGTATTGTTTGGGTCGAGTATTGTTGGGGGTCGAGTATTGTTGGAGGGCCGTGTATTGTTGGAGGGTCGAGTATTGTTGGAGGGTCGAGTATTGTTGGAGGGTCGAGTATTGTTGGAGGGTCGAGTATTGTTGGAGGGTCGAGTATTGTTGGGAGTAGAGTATTGTTGGGGTCGAGCATTGTTAGAGGGTCGAGTATTGTTGGGGTCGAGCATTGTTGGGGGTTGAGTATTGTTGGAGGGTCGAGTATTGTTGGAGGGTCGAGTATTGTTGAGGGTCGAGTATTGTTGGGGTCGAGCATTGTTGGGGTTGAGTATTGTTGGAGGGTCGAGTATTGTTGGATGGTCGAGTATTGTTGGATGGTCGAGTATTGTTGGAGGGTCGAGTATTGTTGGGGTCGAGCATTGTTGGGGTTGAGTATTGTTGGAGGGTCGAGTATTGTTGGAGGGTCGAGCATTGTTGGAGGGTCGAGTATTGTTGGGGTCGAGTATTGTTTGGGTCGAGTATTGTTGGGGTCGAGTATTGTTGGAGGGCCGTGTATTGTTGGGGTTGAGCATTGTTGGAGGGTCGAGTATTGTTGGAGGGTCGAGTATTGTTGGAGGGTCGAGTATTGTTGGAGGGTCGAGTATTGTTGGAAGGTCGAGTATTGTTGGGGTCGAGCATTGTTAGAGGGTCGAGTATTGTTGGGGTCGATCATTGTTGGGGGTTGAGTATTGTTGGAGGGTCGAGTATTGTTGGAGGGTCGAGTATTGTTGAGGGTCGAGTATTGTTGGGGTCGAGCATTGTTGGGGTTGAGTATTGTTGGAGGGTCGAGTATTGTTGGGGGTCGAGTATTGTTGGGAATCGAGTATTGTTGGGGTCGAGTATTGTTGGGATCGAGTATTGTTGGGGTTGAGTACTGTTGGGGTCAAGTATTGTTGGGATCGAGTACTGCTTGGGTCGAGTATCGTTGGGGGTCGAGTATTGTTGGGGTCGAGTATTGTTGGGGTCGAGTATTGTTGGGATCGAGTATTGTTGGAGGATCGAGTATTGTTGGTGTCGAGTATTGTTGGGATCGAGTATTGTTGAGGATCGAGTACTGCTTGGGTCGAGTATCGTTGGGGGTCGAGTATTGTTGGGGTCGAGTATTGTTGGGGTCGAGTATTGTTGGGATCGAATATTGTTGGAGGATCGAGTATTGTTGGGGTCGAGTATTGTTGGGGTCGAGTATTGCTGGAGGTCGAGTATTGTTGGGGTTGAGTAATGTTGAGGGTCGAATATTGTTGGGGGTCGAGTATTGTTGGGGTTGAGTACTGTTGGAGGGTCGAGTATTGTTGGAGGTTCGAGTATTGTTGGGGTTGAGTATTGTTGGAGGGTCGAGTATTGTTGGGGGTCGAGTATTGTTGGGGTCGAGTATTGTTGGGGGTCGAGTATTGTTGGAAGGTTAAGTATTGTTGGTCTAGTATTGTTGAGGGTCGAGTATTGTTGAGGGTCGAGTATGGTTGGGTTGAGTATTGTTGGAGGGTCGAGTATTGTTGGGGGTTGAGTATTGTTGGGGTCGAATATTGTTGGGGTCGAGTATTGTTGAGGGTCGAGTATTGTTGAGGGTCGAGTATTGTTGAGGGTCGAGTATTGTTGAGGGTCGAGTATTGTTGGGGGTCGAGTATTGTTGGGGGTCGAATATTGTTGGGGGTCGAGTATTGTTGGGGGTCGAGTATTGTTGGGGGTCGAGTATTGTTGAGGGTCGAGTATTGTTGAGGGTCGAGTATTGTTGAGGGTCGAGTATTGTTGAGGGTCGAGTATTGTTGAGGGTCGAGTATTGTTGAGGGTCGAGTATTGTTGAGGGTCGAGTATTGTTGAGGGTCGAGTATTGTTGAGGGTCGAGTATTGTTGAGGGTCGAGTATTGTTGGGGGTCGAGTATTGTTGAGGGTCGAGTATTGTTGAGGGTCGAGTATTGTTGAGGGTCGAGTATTGTTGAGGGTCGAGTATTGTTGAGGGTCGAGTATTGTTGAGGGTCGAGTATTGTTGAGGGTCGAGTATTGTTGGGGGTCGAGTATTGTTGGGGGTCGAGTATTGTTGGGGGTCGAGTATTGTTGAGGGTCGAATATTGTTGAGGGTCGAATATTGTTGGGGTCGAGTATTGTTGGGGATCGAGTATTGTTGAGGGTCGAGGAATTTGAGGGTCGAGTATTGTTGGGGGTCGAGTATTGTTGGGGGTCGAATATTGTTGGGGGTCGAGTATTGTTGAGGGTCGAGTATTGTTGGGGGTCGAGTATTGTTGGGGGTCGAGTATTGTTGGGGCTCGAGTCTTGTTGGTAACGGCTTGACAAACCTCCTGCCCTTTTACCCAACAAAATCTAAATCAAACAGTATAATTATTTTAAACAGCTATAATCTGCTCGAATTATGTAATTATAGAGTCGAAGCCTTTAATTTCTCCTCCGAAGTGTCAATAAATGGGTTCGAAACCCAACAATGGAAGAGGCGGGAAACAGGTACTCAGGGGGCACAGCTGGAAACTGAAAACTCAGATGAGTCGTAGGGATGTTAGGGTGTAGTTCTTCAGCCTTAGCTATGTATGGATTCCATACATAGCTTTAATGAAAGGTATGATAAGATTCTTGAAGCTAGGAGAGTGAGAACCTAGTAGCGACACGACACGACAGGAGCCGTGAATCGACCCCTGCAACCACATATGGGTGAGTACACACAACCACAAACCTACCCACACAACATCCATCCATCTATCCCTGGGCGATAGATGGAGAGCTGAAATGAGAACTTTAGATCGTTATTCGTGAGAAAGCGCAAAGCCCATAGGGCCCAATATGGCTACAGAATCAGTCTGTGTATATACCAGGCTGTCAGAAGAACTTGTAAATTTACAGTAACCAACCTTAAGCTTGTGTAACAGGTGTAATGACGAAGTAAAGACGATGTCAGTCCGTCAATCTTCGATAAATAGCGTTTGAGGTGGTCAGTCCCTCAAGCTGGAGAAGAGTTCAAGGTGATGGACTGATTACATCTTTCGCCATTACACTTGTTGTCTCTGTATTTGACTGAGGAAGCCTACTGTGTAGGCGACACGTTTCAACATGAATGATGCCCAGCTGCTGCACATGTGTCTTAATCATCAGTTTTAAGTTTACTCGTAAATAGAAGGAGGCCTGGTCACAGACCGGGCCGCGGGGGCGTTGACCCCCGAAACTCTCTCCAGGTAAACTCCAGGTAAACAAAGTCTGGTTACTGGAACAGCAGTCAGTCTTGTTTACGAGGACTTGCTTGTGTTTAGAGCTGATGGTGTCATCAGTCAGTCTTGTTTACGAGGACTTGCTTGTGTTTAGAGCTGATGGTGTCATCAGTCAGTCTTGTTTACGAGGACTTGCTTGTGTTTAGAGCTGATGGTGTCATCAGTCAGTCTTGTTTACGAGGACTTGCTTGTGTTTAGAGCTGATTGTGTCATCAGTCAGTCTTGTTTACGAGGACTTGCTTGTGTTTAGAGCTGATTGTGTCATCAGTCAGTCTTGTTTACGAGGACTTGCTTGTGCTTAGAGCTGATGGTGTCATCAGTCAGTCTTGTTTACGAGGACTTGCTTGTGCTTAGAGCTGATGGTGTCATCAGTCAGTCTTGTTTACGAGGACTTGCTTGTGTTTAGAGCTGATGGTGTCATCAGTCAGTCTTGTTTATGAGGACTTGCTTGTGTTTAGAGCTGCTGGTGTAGAGTTGATCAGTGAATAGTGTGCTGTAGGGGGCCAAGTTGGGCTTTGATTCTTACCTGAATATACTTGAGGGGTGATGTTTCACTCGTGGTCCACTAGTGCATGTCTTGGTTTTACTCCTGGTCCGCCACTAGCTGTGATGTTTCATTCCTGGTCCGCCACTAGCTGTGATGTTTCACTCCTGGTCCACCACTAACGGTAATGTTCACTCCTGGTCTACCACTAGCTGTAAAGCTTCACTCCTGGTCCACCAGCACCAGTGATCATTCACTCGTGGTCCACGAGTACAGTAATTATTATTAACAATATATCTGTCGAGGTCACGAGTGCAATAAAACGCTTGCAATGTTCCACTAGTCCAATAAGAGAGACAGTGAAGGCTACACTTGGCTACCCGCTGGCCGGACATACACAAATGAATGACTAGTTCCACCGCCAGATACCATTTCCACTAGATATACACGTTTCTGTAAACGATTTGGAAGCCTATTTGTAGGCTTTAACTAATGGTAACTTCATCAAGCTATCTTTCGTCAATCTTAGACTGCTTGTATGTTTTATTTTGCAAGATTTTCGATTCTTTTAACAGAGGGAATTATTGATTGTCACTGCTTGAGAACCACGGCTGTGATACTGATGAGCGTTATCGTTATCTTATCGTATAGCCTCCCTACGAGGTTTTCAAATATGCGTTATCGATAGGTTGTCATAGACGAAATAAGTGTCAGGGGCTCAAGATTGTTCAACTGCCTCCCAGTATACATAAGAGGGGTTACGTAACTCTTGTAATTAGTATTTTACTACATGTAAACCACACAATAACCAAAATCTGTGAACCCCGCATTGTAATCCTTGTAGAGAATAAACTTTGATTTGATTTGATATAGACCCCTGGTTGTCTTCAAGACCCCTGGTTCCTTCAAGACCCCTGGTTGTCTTCAAGACCCCTGGTTCCTTCAAGACCCCTGGTTGTCTTCAAGACCCCTGGTTCCTTCAAGACCCCTGGTTGTCTTCAAGACCCCTGGTTCCTTCAAGACCCCTGGTTGTCTTCAAGACCCCTGGTTGTCTTCAAGACCCCTGGTTCCTTCAAGACCCCTGGTTGTTTTCAAGACCCCTGGTTGTTTTCAAGACCCCTGGCTGTCTTCAAGACCCCTGGTTGTTTTCAAGACCCCTGGCTGTCTTCAAGACCCCTGGTTATCTTCAAGACCCCTGGCTGTATTCAAAACCCCTGGTTATCTTCAAGACCCCTGGTTGTTTTCAAGACTCCTGACTGTCTTCAAGACCCCTGGTTGTCTTCAAGACCCCTGGTTGTCTTCAAGACCCCTGGCTGTCTTCAAGACCCCTGGCTGTCTTCAAGACCCCTGGTTGTCTTCAAGACCCCTGGTTGTCTTCAAGACCCCTGGTTGTCTTCAAGACCCCTGGTTGTCTTCAAGACCCCTGGTTGTCTTCAAGACCCCTGGCTGTCTTCAAGACCCCTGGTAGTCTTCAAGACCCCTGGTTGTCTTCAAGACCCCTGGTTGTCTTCAAGACCCCTGGTTGTCTTCAAGACCCCTGGCTGTCTTCAGGAAGGCACTGGACAGGCACCCAAGGTCAGTATCTGACCAGCCGGGCTGTGGTTCTCACTTTGGTATGCGTGCGGCCAACAGTAACGGCCTGGTTGATCAGGCCCTGATCCACCACGGGGTCTGGTCAAGGACTGGACCACGGGGGCGTTGACCCCCAAAACATCCTCCAGTTATATTCCAGGTAACCCGTCCTCTTGGAAAACAGTGCGAATTATGAGTGTAAACAGTCAGGGCATCACTGTTTAAACAGTTAGGGCATCACTGTTTAGACAGTCAGGGCATCCTGTTCAGTCA